CGCCGCTCCCGCCGCGAGCGGAGCCAACGCGGGCAGTTTGGTGATGCCTGAATAATTGACGGAGCGCGTGGGCCCGGCCTGGCAGCCGCTCGCTTAAAGCCCAGCGCAGCCAGGGAGTCTGGAGCAGCAGCAAAAGGAGGGGAAACCCAAAGCCCAGCAGCAAACGTGGAGCAGGAGAGCGGATTCAGGTGGCAGGAGCGGGGAAGGACGTGCACTGTGAGGTTTTAGGGATGCACGGGGCCCAGCATCCCAAAGGCAGAGCACCGAGCTCTCCAAACGAGCTCTCCAGGAGCATCCCCGGCTGGAACAGCCGGAGCAGCCGCCCGGGACGCGGCCGCTCCGGGCCCGGAGCCTGGGAAAGGCTGAGCCCGGAGCAGCTGCAGCCGTTTCCTGCCTTGGACGCGGTGAGGCCGCAGCTGCGGAGCCACCGGGGAGCAGTGGCCCAGCCCAGGCTCCCGGCATCCGAGCGGCAGCTCCGGGGCCTTTCGGGGCTGGGAGAACTCTGCAAAGTCCATTTCTGCTCATGTGTTTCCTCTGCCTCTTGGCTTCTCCCAGATACTGCTTTAGTTAACCCTCGAAATGAGGAGGAGGAGGATGATTTTGACCCACAGCCTTCACCTTACCCTGCCCAGCCCTTTCCACACAGGGATTTCTTATTTCGGAAGCTGCCCAGGCCCACGGCGGATTCCCGAGCATCCCGGATTCCCCTCGGCACCTCTCAGGGCAGAGGGAGCAGGTTTCATGCTGAGCACCCGAAACACAGGAGAGCTCAAGGGAACCTTGCTTGGATTTCGTTAGGAATCCGCAGGGACACACAGAACAGCAGCAAGTTGGCAGGGCCACGTGGCTCAGGCCAAGATAGGGTAAGAAGCCCCCAAGTGGGTGCCAAACGTGGTCTGGATAATGAGGGCGAGCTCGTTAGTGTGACCATTACTTGGAGTGCGCTGTGCCAGCAGAAACTCACCACTCCTCCCTTGTCTCCCTCCATGAACTGCACGATCTGGCAGGACGATTTCTCCCACAGGAAGATGTGGCCACAGTCGCTGCCGCTCACCACAAACTCGCTTTTCGGGCCATAAAAATTGACACCTTTCACTGAAAAGGGAGAGAAACAAGCAGCCTGAGGCCATGAGGAGCCGGGCAGCGCTCCCTGCCATGAATTCGCTTCCTCCCTGGCAGCGAGCGAGTTTCCAAGGTTACCGGAGTGGATCTCTTCCGTCCCCAGACACATAATAGCTCATTCTTTGCAAGCCCAATAGTTTGTGTTAAGAGTCTTTGAGAGGAAGACGAAACAGGCGGTGCTGCAGAAATGAGCTCAAGGCAATTTTTCTTCTGCTCTGGGGATGGTCCCCCAAATCCAACCTGCCCTAAAGCCTCAGTATGGGCAGGAAAAAAAAAAAGAGGGAGAAACGGCCCTCTGCAGCCTCAGTAAAACTCAGCTCTCCTGCACTAAGGACATGCAGATGGGAAGGTTTAACGGTCACTTGGGGACAGTCCCCAGGCCCAGTGCCTGCTCCGCTTGCCGAAAAGGGAGAACGCAAGTGACCCTGGTTCCCGGGTGGCCCTTACCAGTGGCATTATTGCGATGTCCCTTGTATCTCTTGATGTACTCGGCTCCATCGCTGTGAGAGGAGTTGAAGAGATAAATGTCCTCGTCATTGTAGCTGGCCAGGAGCTCTGGCACGAGACAAGAGGGACAGGCAGAGGGGCGTTAGTATCGAGCGGCCTCGGCGCGCTGCGACGCGGCCCCGGGAAGCGCCTGGAGCACGGCTGCTCGCCGGATCGCGCGGAGGTTGCTGCACATTCCTCCCATGTGCAGCGACTTCTCCTCCCCTCTCCGGCCTGGAATTTCCTTTGCAGATATCCGGGAGCCTCAAGACACCGTAACAGGGCTGGGTTTTGTCCCGGACCGCAGAGCAAGTGGGACGAGGGAGTTCTTACTCACCTGACCCGTCGTGGCTGTACACGAGACACGTGATGTTAGCTTTGGACTCGCTGTTTACCTACGGAAAACATGGACAGCTCTGATCCCATCTCCGCCTCCCTAAAAAAGGCCTTGACCCCCAGCACACCTATGCTGAACACGTGCTGCTTCAGGGTTACTCTTTTGCCATGCCTTTAAAGCCAGGCCATAAATGCAACGTGCTATCCTAAGCCAAGATGGCATTTTATAGATGCTGGAAGATCAGGGTCAAGAGGAGAAAAAAACAAAAGGAAAAATAATAAAGAAGCCAGGCGGTTTGTTGAGCTTCTCTGCATGTTTTCCAGGCAGGAAGCCTGGAACGGCTCGGCCAGCAAGCGTTCCTAAACGGGGCTCCCGAGGGAGCGCTCCGCGGAGCTGCGCGAGCTTTTGCCGAGGCCCCATTTTAGGCTCCCGCGCGTCGCTCGGGGCCCGGTGGCTGGCGAGGGCTGGCACGGGCAGCACCGCTGCGGGCGGGAGACCCGTTTGTGTCACTCACTGTGGCGGGGTCCCCACCGCCCTCTCCCCGAGCCGCTTACCAAGTGGTGAGGGCAGAACTTCTTTAGCACGCCGTTGTTTTCGTTCTCGTCTATTTTTCGCTGGTCGTAAATCCTGCGGGAAGGATGGCAGGAGTTCGAGACCCGAACGATGCTTTTTATACAATGCTTTTTTATGGAGACTCCGCATTAATCCCCGCTCAGGAACCAAGACCCGCCCGTGACACTGGCTGGAGGCTCCAGTCTTTGCCAAGGGATCCCAGTGGCCTGGGTTAAGAGAAACCTCAGCCAAAGCAGCTTACTGTCACCTCCTATCATGCTGGAACTGCTGCTTGGTGGCTTGTGACAACGGCAGCGGCGGCCTGTGCGCGGGCCGCGACCTGCGCGTGGGGCTCCGTGTCACAGCGGAGCTCTGCGAAGGGGACGTGGC